AGAGATGGAGACTTTTTGCTGCGCAATCTGGAAGGGCAAGAATGTTGACTTGACCGTGGTAAGAGATTTCAATCTCAACCAAGTCATTAGTTGGGATATGCCAAATCCGTAGTGCTCCATCAATCCATATGCTCACTAATATCAATTCAAGATGATGTATGACCCGATCAAGGAGAGCCCAGTCGCTGCCCCAGTCCTTGCGACTGATAACTTCGAGGCGCCCATCGTCTATGAAAGATGGGTTCTTGGGTGTCTGTAATTAACTCAATTTTAACATGGAAATGTTTTAGTAATTAATGGGTATATATGTATGGGTGTTGCTATTTGGACAACATTATTACTCACCACCTCTCTAATATGGATGGATCCCATATATAGTGGTGGATCCTCTTTTAAAGAGATGATCAGCAATATGATCGTACAAATGAAGGGTGTTGTTATTTTGACTATATTTACCAATCACATTGCTGACAAACTCTTTACTAATCACATTGTTATTTCGACCATACACTGGTTGGGTCACCTCTGTTACAAGGATCCACATCCACTGATTTGAAAGAATATTTGTAAAGGAAAATCAAAGCAATCCTAACAGAAAAAATCAATATAAAAGGTCCGAAGGTGATCTAGTGAATAAATATGGTATAAATAACATTAAACCTGATTGCAAATGCCAATCATAGAAACATTAACCCGTGCATGCATATCTCACGAAAACAAAAACATGTGTAAAGGAAGAAAAAGGAACCTCACTTTTCCATCTTCCATCATATTTTGTGTCATCCAACCATTATGTGTCATCCAACCAAAGATAGGCAAGTTAAGACAACGAATTGAATTGATGCTGTACATGTATACCAAAGAGACATAAAATTAGAGTACGCTTAAGTCTGCGCGTGTGCATGTGTGTGTGAATGATAAATATATATATATATATATATATATATATATATATATATATATATATATATATATATATATATATATATATATATATATATATATATATATATATATATATATATATATATATATATATATATATATATATATATATATATATATATATATATATATATATATATATATATATATATATATATATATATATATATATATATATATATATATATATATATATATATATATATATATATATATATATATATATATATATATATATATATATATATATATATATATATATATATATATATATATATATATATATATATATATATATATATATATATATATATATATATATATATATATATATATATATATATATATATATATATATAAAGTAATCAAAACATAGTCAGTGAAGGGTATAGGTTCAAAACTCTTAGTTACCCAATGAATACTTATAAATCCCCTTCCTAATAACTTGTACTCAAAAAAAGTAAACAAAACCTAAAATCAAAATTGATGATCATTATCTCTTCTTCTTTTTTTTCTGCTAGAAATATGAAAAACATCAATGTCACTTGTACAATGGAAACAAAAAAAAAAGTTTAACTTGCATACTAGTAGTGGAGGTCTTAAGTTCAAATTTTGATAACAACAGAAATTCCCGATGTACAGAGAGGATTGCCCTTTTGGTGCATTTGACATTGACAGAATCAAGTTTTTATGAAAAATTAGTTATCAAACTAGGGTTAAAGAAAGAGAAAAAAATTACAGAAGATGTGCCAAAATGAAAGTGCCATTTTCCTTGTTTTTTTTTTCTCCCCATTTAATCAAACAACAAATAGTGAGATGAAAGAGAGAGTGCAAGCAAGGTTTTCATCAAACATTTTAAAGAAATAAAAGCACACAACAGAAACATGATATCATCTATGAGGGACCAATAAAAGAAGTTGAGTGTAAATTCCACGATCATTACGTAACTTCCAGGAATGTGAAGCATTTCCCACTGTCCAAGATGATTCAACACCTTTACATTTGCAACTGAGGTTAGGCCGTCTCTGTTAGGGAAAACAAAAGTATAAAAGTATTAAAAGAAGAATATGTAATTGGCTTATTTTCACAAATGTTTTCTGAGGTTTACGAAATTATCACATTTGATACTTCACAAAATTATCCCATCTATATATATGAGGCAGAAATTACTCAATACAAAGCACAAGTTCAAGTCCTCTGCAGTGATAATGGAGAAGAATATATGAGTTTTGTTTTCCAAATTTGTTGGCAATTTAGGCATGTGTGATATCTATGCACCAACTTGAGGGGGAGTGTTGCGATAATTATGGAATTAATAGAAAATTAGGACACATTCTAGCTTACCTTATTTATCTTCCTGTAATTACACTATTAGGGTTGTATATACGCCTTGTTGATGACTGAAAGAAAGCATGAAGAATTATTCCCAAATGGAAGAACTATAACATTGGCATCAATCGAAATCTTGAACAAACTGAGAGGCAATGGTTTTCATATTCTGCTGATGCTAAGACAAAACATATTTATATGACATAAAAATGTACTACCGTACATATCCTGCATGTAGCAATATTACCTAACATGGTAGGAGAGTTATGGTTCCGGAGATCGTGAGTTTGAATTCTCTAAACTGTCACTTGATAGCATGGAAAAGCTTTAGCCTTAATTATGCTATATTGTATATTCTCGCATACCGATTTTCAAGTCCACAATTCCCGCTACGATACTATCTCCTTAGGGTATGTTTGGTACGCTTCACTGGACTGGACTGGACTGGACTAGGCTAAATAGCACTCGAAACCCATGTTTGGTAACAGACGGGACTAACTTAAATGAGACTATATAGTCCAATAGTAAAAAAAAGGCCTCACTCGCCCGTCTAATATAGTGAGCCCGAAAAGTGGTTCACTAAATAGCACGTTCCTAAATAGAACACGCTAGTCCGACTCCTCTCTTTAAAAAATATTAGGATTTTATTTGTTTTCTTTTTATTATTGTTTTAAATTTTTAATTGGGATTTTTAACATTTATTTATTTATTAGGTCAAAATCCGTAATTAAATTTAAATATTACAAGAATTATTTTGATATTGCATTTGACCACATTTGTATTTGGAAAATCAAACTATAATAATTGACAAATGCTTGATATTCTTTTTATATTGAAACAAGTTTAATAATTCATGATGTGCTGCTTTCTTTATCGCAAGCAATTATTACCTTGTTAAATTATATTTTTCAGTTTAAAATATTTTAAATTATTTTTTACTTGATCTTCCATGAAAGACGTAGAATTATATAGAGTGAGTTTAGCTCCTTAGTAATGTTTCGACCAACAAAAAATAGAAGATTTGTAGTAGTCTTGGGGCAAGGCTAAGGAGCAACTAAGATAAATCTTGAGAAGCCAAAAAAAAAAATTATCAAAATTTTATTCTTCATAAACAATCATAATTTTATTTGTTTTATTGTTTTAAATCTTTGAATTGTGTTTCTTTGTAGCATTTATTTATTTTTAGGTCAAAATTTCAAATTAAATTTAAATATTACAAGAATTATTTTTTAGTCCGACACAGCACCAAACATAGGTCTTCACTATTTTTACAATCCAGCTTCTTAGTCCGACGCAGCACCAAACGTAGGTCAATACTTAATCCAGCTTAGTCCAATCCGAGCTAATCCAAGACAGTCCCAGGATTTAGTCCAGTCCATGACAGTCCGCCGTACCCGATTTTCAAGTCCACAATTCCCGCTACGATACTATCTCCTTAGTGCTCAGTTCTTGAAGATAATATATTTTTCTACAGTTTTTTATTTATTCATAGTCGGATTCCTTGCTGGAATTCATGGATTTTAATTATTAATTATTAATTTATTATAGGTTTTAGCTCCATCCATCCAAAGTACAAACAAACCCATGTGCTAATTAATATAAAAAGAAAACGAATCTTCTACTTCTCGCTGCACCGTCCTTTTGTCTTTTTTACATTTTAACCATATTTTTATTACCATAATGTTTCAAGATAATTCATTACAGGATCTAAAACTAAAATTGCCTCAGTTGCCCTTTCTTCTCTTTCTTTTTTATGACCAAAAAGAGAAGAACTTTTGTTTCTACTTTGGTGTTTTCCAAGCTTTATTCGTCATATTGGTCATATTGAGACCATGAGAAGCACAATATTGGTCATAATGAGGAACTTTTGTTTCTAATGATATAATTGTCTATGCTTTTTATTCTTTTCATGATTACAAAAGTTGAAAGATGATAAGTACGTCGGGTCTTTCTCAAGCTTTATCATGTTCTTTGGTCCTGTCAAGCTGCAATTATTTGAAGGGATGTGTCTTGCGGGACCTTATTTTGTTAGAACTTTACATTTTTATTGGTTGTGGCACAGGGAGGAAAGCGAAAACTGTTCAACACCAATGCCAAGGATGTGTGATAATGGCACTGCTCGATCTCTGGCGATGAGGGAACTGTTCAACTATGGGTTCAATTGAAGGTTGAGTTGTGCTTGGTTGACAAATGAAAGGGGATTGACTCCCGTGAGATTACTTAGCCCAACCGGTTGTTTGTGTAGGTGTGCCATTATTGGAATTGAAACCAGCCCAATTGAACTAATGTATGTGGTGTAGAATACCTTGTGGTATGGCTTTGCACTGCTCGACTCCTTATCAAGCAATTGAGCTTCGAGGGGTGTACTGGCTCAGATAGGTTCTTTTATATGCCTCAATTAAGAGGACTTTACTATTCTTTCAATCTTGTATTTGTGGCTTGGAAGATACGAATGGTACCCAGCCAAAACCTCACATGGAATGCACTTTAGAAACATACCCAAAAATCATTTACTTCATAAGAAATGAGTATTGAAGTTCTTGTAAATTACATGACTGCCACTGATTAACTTAAAACAAGCCCAATACAAAAAACTCAAAAAAAACCCAAAACAAGCCCAGCAAGCCCGAAGTACATTGTTAATACCATATCATAGACGTACATTGTTAATACCATGTCATAGAAGTACATTGTTAATACCATGTCATAGAAGTACAGTGTTGAAGTTCCTATAAATTACATGACTGCCATTGATTAACTTAAAATAAGCCCAACGCAAAAAACTCAAAACAAGCCCAGCAAGCTCGAAGTACATTGTTAATACCATATCATAGAAGTACATCGATAATACCATATCATAGAAGTACATTGTTAATACCATTTCATACAAAAAACTCAAAAAACCCAAAAAAAGGCCCAGCAAGACATCTGATATCCTTTGCAGAAACCACCTCCAATTGTTCACAGTTTCACCAGAAACAATTGCAAAGACATCTGATACCTTTACAAGAAGAAAAAAAAAACACTGTTAATACTATGTTATAACACTATCTTCCTAGTAAAAATTACATTATGCATATAAATACTATGTCATAACTTCAAGTGCATAGCTATATATAGAGCAAAATATAGAGCATGCTTTGTTACTGAAAATCTGTTAATACTATGCCATAGAAGTACACTGTTAATATTATGTCATAGAAGTGCACTGTTAATACTATGTCATAGAAATCATCTCAGTAGCAGGGTATGAACAGTATAACAACTGTTCATACCACTTACTGGAAGTTAACAACTACTTACTGGAAGTTAACAACTACTTACTGGAAGTTAACAACTACTTACTGGAAGTTAACAACTACTTACTGGAAGTTAACAACTACTTACTGGAAGTTAACAACTACTTACTGGAAGTTAACAACTACTTACTGGAAGTTAACAACTACTTACTGGAAGTTAACAACTACTTACTGGAAGTTAACAACTACTTACTGGAAGTTAACAACTACTTACTGGAAGTTAACAACTACTTACTGGAAGTTAACAACTACTTACTGGAAGTTAACAACTACTTACTGGAAGTTAACAACTACTTACTGGAAGTTAACAACTACTTACTGGAAGTTAACAACTACTTACTGGAAGTTAACAACTACTTACTGGAAGTTAACAACTACTTACTGGAAGTTAACAACTACTTACTGGAAGTTAACAACTACTTACTGGAAGTTAACAACTACTTACTGGAAGTTAACAACTACTTACTGGAAGTTAACAACTACTTACTGGAAGTTAACAACTACTTACTGGAAGTTAACAACTACTTACTGGAAGTTAACAACTACGTCATTTCATTTGCATAATAGGTACGATAAAGAATCCAAACAGTACACAAGCTAAGAAAGATGCCTACTTGAGTGAATTCATTGAATTGTAATCCTAATCGATGACCCAACTAACATGCTTGAGGAGCCTAAGGCTATTTGTGTATATAGATAGATACATGCATATTGATATATACATGTAAGACATACATTAAAAAACTACACGGGCATGATACTTTCATATTTCTTGAAACCCTTAAGGTCATCAGTTCGGAGGCGCAGAGATATCTCCTGCCCGTGGTTCTACAACAGCAACCAAGTGTCAATCAGAAATTAAAAGAAAAGAGAAAATACTATTGCCACTAATTTCATCATATATTCTGATGTTTAGAGTGTGATTACCTTATTGAAGCTGAGGATGCATTTGGGACTTATGCCAACATAACCAACAGGGGCCATCTCAGTCATGATTCCCACACGCCATGCTTTAAAAAGAACAATGCAAAGATAAATTATCAGCAGGGACATAAAAGTATACCAAGGAATCATATGCACAGCATACTGGACAATCTGTTTATACAAGTGTGAGAATATGCATTCAATGATACCTTGTTCATGACAGAAATAATTCCAGGATCTGCAGCAAGCATGTGCATTCTTTTCAATGCTACCTTATTGAAGCTGAGGATGCATTTGGGACTTATGCCAACATAACCAACAGGGGCCATCTCAGTCATGATTCCCACACGCCATGCTTTAAAAAGAACAATGCAAAGATAAATTATCAGCAGGGACATAAAAGTATACCAAGGAATCATATGCACAGCATACTGGACAATCTGTTTATACAAGTGTGAGAATATGCATTCAATGATACCTTGTTCATGACAGAAATAATTCCAGGATCTGCAGCAAGCATGTGCATTCTTTTCAATGCCTCTGACACCGAAGGGTTCAATTGCAGACAAGTAACAAGAAGTTGAAGTTAAAAGCCTCTACCAAAAATTGATAATTGCAATATCTTCACATTTCCTCATACATAATTTTAGAATACCTCAATTCCTGGAAGTTGAAATGTTCGGAAATCACAAAATATATAAGGTCCTTGGGAAGTTTCAGAGTATGAGGCCTGTATGACATTCGCTGCCTCAATCTCATTTCCTCTTCATCAAATCCAGCTATCCTTAAGTTTGACTTTGCATGTTGTAAAACTTCATCAACCTCATGTTCAGACACTCCCATCATTCTGATGGACTTTCCCTGAACAAGAAGAAAAGCAATCAGTTATCATGCAAGAACTCAGAAAGTTCAGTCATAGAAAGTTAACACTAAATAGTGTTTTACACGTTAAAATCACAAAGAACCTAGATCACTGAGAATCTAAATCCAAGAACAGTAATTATCAATTTTTCTTTTCTTTTATTCAATTTTCTCAGTAACCAAACATTAGATAGCATACACAAACAGAGCCAAACAAGTTAACAACAATGAGAAAAACAAGCATAATGAATTCTAAATCTCTAATTCCAAATATTATATCATTCTAAAATAGAAAAAGCAATACAGCAATGACTCATATTGACTAATTAAGTATTTTACGCCAAGAACTCATTCCAAAATTATGACTACCACCAACTCTACCATCGTCGGCGCTCCAAAGAATGAAGAATCAAATTGAATCACCATATCACCATTGCCAATTCAATCATACACTAAGCAAACACATAAATTAACATCAACAAAAATTTACGAGAAATTAAAATTTTCACAGTAACCTTTAAGAGCTTTTGTGTATGAGAGCCTGAGTAGTTCTTCAGAATCTCTCTCTTGGCGGCGTATCCATACTGAGATCGATGAATTTTATCCAACGATCAATCCAAGTACGATCCCTGCCTTCTTTGCCAGACTCATTCCTCCAGAGGTCCAGAGGAGTTCTTCGTTCCGTCTCCGTCTGCATTGAGGTTGCTGTGGTTAACATCGCTCGAATTCGACGACGCTGGAGAAGGAATTGGAGGTGTGTCGTCGGCCGACAGAGATTGAGACGGAGATGATTGCGGTAGCGTCGGACATGAAGAAGGATGGTGCGTTCATTGGAGCGTCCGACGGAGATGGAGGAAGGGAAATCGGAGATAGAGTTTTGGGCGAAAGTGAATCGGTGACGGGTTGTGGGGATGGAGTCGGCGAGGGCTGTGGTGGAGATGATGAAGATTAAATGGGAATTGGACTAGGAGAAAAGCCAGAAGCAGAGCTCGATTGTTGAAGAAGAAGAAGAAAGTTCGAGATGTATGTTGATGAAGACTGAGTTGATTAATAGACAAAGCAGAAGGGCAAAACAGTAATCCAACATAGTTGTTGAATTTCAAAAATCGACAGCTGTCAATTTTTGGGTTTATTTTGGGTGTGTTTATATATATTGAATGGTATAGGGTTTCTTTATAGAACTATGTCTAGAAATGGGTATTTAACTAATTTCCTATTCTTTTATATGCCTCAATTAAGAGGACTTTACTATTTTTTCAATCTTGCATTTGTGGCTTGGAAGATACGAATGGTACCTAGCCAAAATAGAAAAACCAATGTTATGGTTAGTGCTTCCTTGATTGGGCTCAAAAACCTATATTAGGCACAAGATAACCCTAGATTGGGGTTAATATTTAATGAAATCAGTCCTAAGATTATAATTCGAGCCTATGGGAACCCAAATGGGCCCACGTAGACGCCTTGTTTTTGGGGCCAAAATGCCTTGGATTGGACCTAAAAACCCTATTCGAGCCTGTCCAGCAATAAACATTTATAATACTTGTAAAATAATTGGCAAATAAAGTAGATTATTGAAATGTAAATGACATTAAAATAAAACTCTCAAGACTAGAGTTTTCTCTATCTAATACGAATATTTAAACAAAATGGGCAAAGATTTCTCAATTTAGCCGTTAATGTCAAATGGTTATCTTGGAGGCGAGAAGGCTTTTTAAAATCTTGAAGGTCATTCAAGTATTTTAGAGACGTTGCGTTTGAATTTGGAGAGAGAGTCCTGGAGCTGATGATTTCTCCCTCTATTTATAGGCTTCTTGGGTCTTCTAACCGGCACGGGATCAAATGAGTTTTGATAAGGACCTGCTGGTTAATGAACTGTAAGGAAAGAAAAATAGGGCCTCGAGTGCATCGATCCTTGGGTTACTCGGGGACGGCTTGATGGTGGCTGTTGGGCGGCTCCTGCGGTCCAAATCACATTTAATGCGGTTGCTTGATCATCTGAAATTTTTCAGTTGCCGAAGTTGCCATCTGGTCCTTTGTTTGAGTCTTCGCGCTTTTGTTTGGGTGATAGCATGTTTGGAAGTTTTCCAGTTGCCGAAGTTGCCATCTGGTCCTAATTGTTTCATTTCAACCTTTTCACCAATCCATGTGTATTATTTATAAAAGGCTATTGAGTTCCTGGCTTTGGTGTGGGCTTGGACCGAAATAGATAAACAAGAAATGGGCTTAGTATTTAAACTAAGATGTGGCCCGATTGCAAAATTAAAAGCCCTTTTATCGTTTATAGGAATTGAATGGGCCCGATAGAAGAAATATATATAATGTCAAATTAAAAAAAGATATTAAAGATGTTACTCATCTTCTTTTGAATTTCAGAAGCAAAACCATAACCTTTGAGCTTAAGCTTTTCTTATATGTCTTGGCTTCACCCAAATCAATATAATCTCTCAGTATTTGTGAAGGTGTTTGGCTCAGAAGAATTCTTGCAGATTTGCAGCAGGAGATCAAGTCTCCAAGACAACATATATTGTGACAATATGTCTGCAATTGCAATGACAAAAAATCTAGTCTTTCACAACATGACTATAAAAGGAAACTACCTTTGAAACAGAGAAGATAACAGAGTTTTTTTTTTTTTTTGGGTCTAGTTTGTGTCAGTCTATGTTTTGAGCTTTTATTAAAGAGTTAATAAATTAGGGAAATGCATCAAATTTGGCTGCATTTTTGTGGGACTTTCCTTAAATTATGCGCTCCTAGATTTATGAATTTTGGGGGGTGATCTAATTCCATTCTACTAGTCTTTGATATGGAAGGTATTATTCTATGATGATATGGATTACTTATGGAAAGTTAGTTCCATTTTAGTAAGCTCAAATTCCAATTATAGTTAAGTCTCTAATTTTTTTTTTTGGGGTCATATAAGTCTAATTTGTATCTTATTGTGTTTGCTTGGTTGTTTTGGCATACCATTCTCTCTTGAATTAATTGAGCATAAATTAAAAAGACACAAATGTACAAAGAATGCTTTTGACATTGTTAATTTAGTGATCTGGCTTTGTTTCAAATTTAGGCAGAACTGGTTCTGGGTTAAACTTCTTATGTTTGTTTGTCTCCCCCATATGACAATGGCACAACTTTCATGTAGTATAGGGGATGACAAAAACATATCCCACTAATATTGGTAAATTCTTTCTTTTCATGTAGTATAGGGAATTATAAACGAACTGTGATTGCATGCTTCATACAAGCAATATATTTGCTTGAACTCGATAGACAAGAGAATAGAGACGAAACAAATGCTCTAGCTCCTAAGTGGTGGATACCTTTTAAGTATAAACTATCGCAAACCTTAATCGATGAAAGAGATGGATCCATATTTGGGGCAATTTTGGAATGGGATCGGTCTGCAGCACTTGCTGACTTTGTACTTATCAGGCCAAGTGGTGCACCAAAGGCGGTTTTAGCACTTAGAGGAACATTGCTCAAAGGCCCAACTATGCGAAGGGATATTGAAGACGACCTTCGTTTTCTTGCTTGGGAGAGCTTAAAGGGTTCTGTTAGGTTCAAAGCAGCTATGGAGGCTCTGAAATCAGTTGCTGAAAGGTATGGAAGCAGTAATGTATGTATTGCAGGACACTCATCGGGGGCTGGATTTGCTCTCCAAGTGGGAAAAGCATTAGCGAAAGAAGGGATGTATGTGGAAACTCATTTGTTCAATCCGCCTTCCGTTTCGCTAGCAATGAGCTTCAGAAATATTGGAGAGAAAGCAGGATTTGCTTGGAAGAGATTGAAGTCAATGCTCCCTTTGAGAAGTGGAGCTCAGATCAGCAGTGAAGAGGGAGATAGGACTTCTGGTTTTGGACTGAAGAATTGGATGCCAAATTTTTCGGGTTTGAAGAATCCTGGTATGGGTTTGGGAAAATGGGTTCCTCATTTGTACGTAAATAACAGTGACTACATCTGCTGTTCTTATACTGAGCATGATGGAGCAGAAGTAAACAATGCTGACAAGGAGGATGTGTGTCCAACAAATGGTCAAGTAGCAGCAAAGCTGTTTGTTATGTCAAGGGGAAACCAGAAGTTTTCGGAGGCTCACGGTTTAGAGCAATGGTGGTCTGATGATTTGGAACTTCAACTGGCTATGCATAACAGTAAGCTCATTAGCAGGCAGCTGAAATCCTTGTATAGCCTTCCAGCTCCACAACAAACACTTGCTAGATAACAAAGGCCCTCTTGTTTTCACAGTAAGCTCATTAGCAGGCAGCTTAAATAACTCGTTTTCGACTTGGGCCTTCCATACTGTCATGTTTTTATACTTTGTCCATCAGTTCATAATGGCTATTGCCTTTGCTCATCGTTGTTTGTCACCTGTGTTTATTGTCATTTTCATTTGTTCAAGTGCTCTAAATTTTCCGAAGATATCTGAAAAAGCTTTGCAATTTTTCCTTCTACAGTGCCTCAATGTGAAATAAGCATGAATAGGTGTAAAATAGTGTTCGGGCACAATTGCGTCATATTGAGCCAGTATCGTCTTGTATCAGATACAGGCAGGATATATCATATATGTGACATGAGCAGGATATATCATATATGCCAAAGTCATATTGAGGTGTAAAATAAATAAAATATATATATTCATGTTGTGCTCTGATTGGCTAAGCTAGGCAGGATATATCATATATGCCAAAGTCACAACACAATGTAAATACTTCACTAGTCTGTTTCTTCACATCCACAACTTAGAGGAGAGTTGGAGAAACTAAATTATAAAGAAAGATATACAGGAGCTAGTTGTATGATTGGGAGTGCTTGCTTCAGTATAATATTTACCATCACAGGGGATTTTGAAAGTGTTTGCTAAAAACTGAATAATCTCAAACTGATGAGTTAAGCAGCGAGCATCAATCAATCAAGCAAAGTGAAGCCTAGACTTGCTGCTGTTGCATTAAATTTCTTATGTCTTTCAGACTAATCCTTAGCGTTAGCTTGGGAAACACTTTTTGAGGAGAGATGGATACTTTTTGCTGCGCAATGTGGAAGGGCAAGAATGTTGACTTGACAGTGGTAAGAGATTTCAATCTCAACCAAGACATTAGCTGTTCTATTCAGAGTCCTTGATACTCCATCAATCCTTATGTCCAATGGCCCTGTTTCACCCTTTATAAACTCGAAGCGAATTCCTCGTACCTTAATTAAAAATAGCGGTAAGTTAAAAAAAAATTACATATAAGTTTATTAATCCTCTCTTTGAAATGGATGCTGCAATCTGAACTAATATCAATTCAAGATGATGTATGACCTGATCAAGGAGAGCCCAGTCGCTGCTCCACCGGTCCTCACTTATAACTTCGAGGCGCCCATCGTCTATGAAATATGGATTCTTGGGTGTCTGTAATTAACTCAATTTTAACATGGAAATGTTTTAGTAATTAATGGGTATATATGTATGGGTGTTGCTATTTTGACAACATTATTTCTCACCGCCTCTCTAATATGGATGGATCCCATATATAGTGGTGGATCCTCTTTTAGAGAGATGATCAGCAATATGATCGTACAAATGAAGGGTGGTGTTATTTTGATCATATTTACTAATTACATTGCTGACAACCTCTTTAATATGATAGATCCCACATACACTGGTGGGGTCACCTCTGTTACAGGGATCCACATCCATTGATTTGAAAGAATACTTATAAAGGAAAATCAAAGCAATCCTAACAGAAAAAATCAATATAAAAGGTTCAGAGGTGATCTAGTGAATAAATATGGTATAAATAACATTAAACCTGATTGCAAATGCCAATCATAGAAACATTAACCCGTGCATGCATATCTCACGAAAACAAAAACATGTGTAAAGGAAGAAAAAGGAACCTCACTTTTCCATCTTCCATCATATTTTGTGTCATCCAACCATTATGTGTCATCCAACCAAAGATAGGCAAGTTAAGACAACGAATTGAATTGATGCTGTACATGTATACCAAAGAGACATAAAATTAGAGTACGCTTAAGTCTACGCGTGTGTGCATGTGTGTGTGAATGATAAATATATATATATATATAAAGTAATCAAAACATAGCCAATGAAGGGTATAGGTTCAAAACTCTTAGGCACCCAATGAATACTTATAAATCCCCTCCCTAATAACTTGTACTGAAAAAAAAGTAAACAAAACCTAAAATCAAAATTGATGATCATTATCTCTTCTTCTTTTTTTCTACTAGAAATATGAAAAAATCAATGTCACTTGTACAAAGAAAACAAAAAAAGGTTTAACTTGCATACTAGTAGTGGAGGTCTTAGGTTCAAATTTTGATAACAACAGAAATTCCCGATGTACAAAGAGGATTGCCCTTTTGGTGCATTTGACACTGACAGAATCAAGTTTTTATGAAAAATTAGTTATCAAACTAGGGTTAAAGAAAGAGAAAAAAATTATAGAAAGATGTGCCAAAATGAAAGTGTCATTTTCCTCTTTTTTTTTTCTTTTTTTTCTCTCTCCATTTAATCAAACAACAAATAGTGAGATGAAAGAGAGAGTGCAAGCAAGGTTTCCATCAAACATTTTAAAGAAATAAAAGCACACAACAGAAACAAAGAAATAAAAGCACACAACAGAAACATGATATCATCTATGAGGGAGCAATAAAAGAAGTTGAGTGTAAATTCCACGATCATTACGTACCTTCTAGGAATGTGAAGTATTTCCCACTGTCCAAGATGATTCAACACCTTTACTATTGCAACTGAGGTTAGGTCCTCTCTATTAGGGAAAACAAAAGTATAAAGTACTAAAGGAAGAAGAATATGAAATTGGCTTATTTAAACAAATGTTTTCTGAGGTTTACGAAATTATCACATTTGATACTTTATGAAATTATCCCATCTATATAAAATTGGTCCCTACTTTGAGATTCCGTAAAAAATTCTGTTAAATTGATGATATGGAATGTATGTGGAGCCTAGGTGTCTAATAATAGCATGCCACGTGGATCTGAATAAAAAAATTGTTTTGAAAATGTTTAAAAAATAAAAATTCAATAAAAAAATAGAAGACTTAAATTTAAAACTTGTAAAAAAAAAATCTGCTGACTCCCCCTCCCCAGCCTCCCATTCTGTAATCTGCCTCCCTCCTCCCCCTTCCCTTGCCACCCACTTCTCTCTCTCTCTCTCAGATTTTTCATCAAATCTTTTATATCGAGGAATTTTTTTTATATATATAAAAATGATATTCTACTTTAATATAATCTGAAGTACGGGGAGGAAGACTTGAACTCGAGTGTATAGTGGGGAACACATCCACTATAACCAACTTGGCTAAGCTCATATATGCAATCTTTTGTATCAATAATTAATTCACTGTAATGGTAACAAATATGTACAATCAAAATCTCCACATTGCAAATTCTCTCTTTTTCCCTCTCTCCCTCGCTTTCTCCCCCACCCCGATTCATCCCCCCAACCCTCGACATACTCCGCATGACCCAGCCCCCACAGAACCAAAAGCGACCACCCTGGCCACCATCTTCCCCAACTTAGCCACAGCCCACCCTAGGCCCACCGCCTAGGCCCTGCACCCAAATACCCATCATTTTTATATTTTTTTCTTACTTTTTCATCTTTTTTCCTAATCCTTTCAATTTTAAAATTTTAAAACATATATATATATATATATATTTAATTCGCACGTTTTTATTGGACATTTGGGTTCCACATCATCAGTTTAATAGAACACTTGACGAATTCTCACAGTATGAATTAATTTGATGTATGTGGGGTAACATTAAAGACTAATCATTTCACAAAGAAACATAAAAGACCAAAGATAATAACTTCGTGAACCTCAAAGACCGTTTGTGAAAATAAGTCTATTTAATATCAAATTACCAGGATTGGATACCAATAATTAGTAATTTCATATGCATACAGGGTTATTTATAACAAGATGATGAATAATTTAGCTTGGATGAAAGCATGAAGCTCTGCCAATAAATACCTTGAAAAATAATCTTGGACTTAAATATCGGCCATTTCGAAAATATTAGTAGTTCCCAAATGTAGAAATTCCGACGAAAATATGAAAAAAAAAATAGAAATTGTTAGAAAATTATGGAAACTTTGAATGAAACTTTGACTCATGTTTATAAAACTAAATGTAAGTGAGATGCAATTTGAGCCATGCAAAATGCTAACATCCAACGTTCTATAGTGTGTGTCGAAAAGTGTTAAAAAATGTACCCTCCCGACCCATTAATTAAAGTTTAAACAAAGATGAAATTCTTTACCCTCCAAGACGAAGTAGTACCAAAATCGTCCGGAGAATGTTGGATTGTCCTAAGAAATATATATAGGAATTGAGGAATTAATATTATCTTAAGATAAGAAGTGGTAAGAAGGAAGGAGAGATAAGAATGAATGAAGACACTAATTGCAAGAATGGAGATTGGAGAGGAGTAATTCTTACCGCTGTTCCCACCTCATGCAAACAATGTGGTAATTGGTTCCTTAAAGAAAAACCTGGTTTCATCCTAATGAGACAATGCCAGCTGAAAATCCAACAAAAGAATAAATAAGATTACCACTACCCCCGCAAGAACAAATAAGCTCAAATCCAATAAATTAATGCAACATATATTAATTCTTCTTATCTTACTATTAAAAGTTAACTTCAATGTAAATTAAAAAGAAATAATATGAACATATATAATTAAGTACATATATATAATTTTCTATGAGGTCTAGCCCTAGTGGAAAAAGGACATTGATTTGCATACCAATGGTCTTAGGTTCAAACTCTCATGGCACCAAATTAGTAATGTGTGTGTGAGAAACCTTTATTATTATTATTATTATTTTGTAATTTAGACTATCGCTTATATTTAAAAATAATAATACATATAGATAATTAAAGAGTTAGCTATACGACAACTCGATCGAATACCTGTCAGTTCTCAACGATTTTGCCCGTGCTACGTCAACAAGTAACGATCGCAGAGGTGATATATTCGAAATGACCTTCTGGAGGTAGTCAAGCAGGCAACATGCATAAATTAAAATAGAGAGATGCATCAATTGCCTACCAACCTAGTAAGTAACAACAGAATCATACATGTACATGTTGCAATTAAAATGGAAATTTAAAAGCATATACTCATACTCATCTTTCCATGAAAAACAAAGACGAACAGGGGATGGATGGTACATATATATGTCATGAAAATGGAAGAAAATAAAGTAGCAAATGTGGATTTTTCTCTTCAAACTAATGTTTTCTTATTTACAACTAACCGTCTTATTTTTCTATGAAGAAAACCCAATTTATTATAAGTAAAACTCGATAACTAGGATCTAACTCAGCAAGTTACCTAATTAAGCTTAAAATTTGATTTATTGTACTTTTTATATTCCCAAAGTACCCCAAATTAGAATTTACCATATTATATGGTTGTATTAAATGTTAGTTCCTTAATTTATTGTGTTGATTTCTTTCCTCCTAAATTTGAAATTTATTACAAATTTGACTAACCGCACATTGTTTTAAATTTCAAAATGTTTGGCGCATGAGAAAAACTTGCCTGGCAGCGGGGATGCCAAGTTAAGCTTTCCACCTCACTGTACCTAGCCAATTACTTCCTGACAGCTGGATACCACCACTTACACATTTAATATAGGGTAATGATTTCCCCACTCCAATTTTATCCACTTACACTCTTTTTTTAACTATAAAATGGAGTGTAAGTGGATAAAATTGAAGTGGGGAAATCACCACTCTTAATATATATATATATTTTTCCAACTCAAATCACTCTTCTTCTCTTTCTTCAATTCCCACCGACTATCTCTCAGCAACTCAGATCTGGAGGAAACACCAGATAAATTTGTTCTCCCCCAAACCGTACGCTGTTCTTCCACAGACCCGAAGCCAACTCAAAGTCCACCATTTCCAAAATTTTCAGAACTCCTCAATAAATAACTCAAATAAAATTAAAAATAAAAAGGAGAGAAATCAATATCTAGTGTGTGGGTGATGAATGATGAGTTATTGAAGAGGAAAAGAGGAAGGGATGGGTGGGTGATGTGATGATGATGGAGGAGGAGTGATTTGAGGAAGAACAAGGAATGGAAGAGAGAGAACAGGGTGGAATGGGGGATAGAAAGGGAGTGAGCCGGTGAGAAGGACAAAGACGATGCCGACGACAATGGAGGAGGGGCAGAGTGGCGCGGAATATGGAGGATGCGGTCAACGTTGACGCCGAGGCCGGCTGCTGTGGCGGATAGCAGCGGTCGGCGAGAGGCAAATGGCCAAAATAAAAAATTTCTGACCAAAATTTTTATGTGTGAGAGCTATGTCCAGCTGTCAAGAGGCAATTGGTTGGGGATATTGAGGTGGAAAGTTTACCTTGGCATCTCCATACGATCCCATGAGTATTAAACACAAATTTATAAATTCTTCGAATTGTCTATCTATTTACCTATCTTGTATTAGATATGTAGGTAAATTATTTTTTGCATGTATATTATCATTGTTTAATATTGTTATTAAATAGACGTTTCAATATTAAATAGTTGCCAATTAAAAAGAATTAAATATAAATGCTAAACGCCCCACCCATCCAAACGAAGTACCGATTCCATTGTACTCATCTAGTGGTACCGGAGCAATGGAGGGTGACTCTGGCAATTTAAGATCACAGATAACTCCCAAAATCCAGTTAACAACAGCATCCTGGCCAACAACCTGAGATGGAAGAAATATATATAATGTCAAATTAAAAAAAGTTATTAAAAAAGTTATTTAGAAAAGTGTAGATTACGCTTTAGCAATACGTATTAATTTAACATGTTACTCACTATAATTCTCATCTTCTTTTGAATTTCAGAAGCAAAACCACAATTACTTTGCTTAAGCTTTTCTAGAGTACCATAAACATCCTTTAGCACCGTCTCAGGATTATCATATTTCTTTGCTTCTCCCAAATAACTATCATCTTTCAGTAGTACACCAAAAACCTAGAAAATAAAGGAAAACAATACAATATTATATTTACAACAAACTTTAATCAAATCCATGCATGTTAATCAGAGCTTTAATTATACATAAAATACGTTAAAATTTCATTTCACATAATATATGATCGAAGTGCATGTGTTGTTCAAGAAAAATACCTGCTTTGTAGTAAGGAGGTCGCAAAATTTCCCAATGAGTTCTTCTCCTTGTTGTCTATTGCGCATATCAATAAACACCAACACTGGGGATTTTTTTATACGGAAGGAATCAGGTAAGTTCTCAAATTTGCGGTAGGGCGGAGAAGTCCTCCTGCATGGGATATTCATATTGGTACGTAAATAATTCGAAAGACGATACCAAAATAAGGGAGTAAGTAATTAAAGTACTACTGTATGTATAATTAAGTTGAGAATAATACCTTAAATTTTGGGGGTTTTGGGACATGATTTCTGCGAGTGTCGTAGCGGCCAATGGTAGACCATAACATAGATCCTTAATTTCACTCTCAACCTTTTCCAAATGTTGTTGATATTCAAAATCAGGAATATAACCAAAAACAGTGTCCTTAAATATATCCCAGCAGCTTTGTCTGTCCAAACGCTCAAGAGGAATAATCAAGCTGTTATAATGTTGATCTGACCCCTCCGCCGGTACCACCATAGCTTCAACCACTTCCGGTATCCTACTAGTGACGATGACCACACCACCAGTACCCTTAGGCAATCCGTGCGATAAGCGATCCCCAATTTTCTTATCACCTTCCTGAACCTGAAGTAGTTGTTGCCTATGTCCTAAGTCCGAGTAGAAATCGTTCATGTGCCACACATCATCCAACACAATCAAATACCTTTTATCTGATAAATGTTGGTTGAGAGAGATGACCAGAATTATTATTACTACTTATTATCTTCTCCTCCTCCTGGATGATGCCATCTCCATTGGCAACGGCATCGTGGTCCAACTTACTAAGCATACATTTCACAATGCTGACCTCAATTTCTTCTTCTACTTGTTTATTTTCTTTGATTATATTCGACAAGCATAACCAAATTATAGGAGAAAATTCACCTCGCACTATCCACCAACTCAAAACCTCGCGCACCAGAGTGGTCTTACCCGCGCCTGCCATGCCCATTATCCCAACTGCCGCAAATCCAGCACCTGACGGCGGCAATGATTTTAAAAGAAAGTCCCCAATCTTCCGTAATTTCTCATCAAATCCCACAACTTCAGCCTCAAATCTTCGACGGCAATGTATTAATACAGGTAGTTCGCTCTCTAAATTCTCTTCAGGATCAGGACGACTTGATGATTCCCTCAAGTTATAAATTCTTTCTTCCTTTTTCATAAACTCATCCTCGAAGATGCGTTTTATTGCAGCCAGCCGCTTCTTCATCTTCAGCACGAAACAAATCTTCCTCAAACTCAAATGGTTGAAGACTATTAAATGAGTCTTGTGATGACTATGCTTCTTCCACTCATGTGAGAAGACCTGGCACTTGGTCAATGCGTCGGTGAGGTCCAGGAGCACAGAGATAAAGCGACAGTAGTAATCTCCCGTAAGTCTTCGAGTATCTATAGCTATTAAAATATCTTTGATTGCTCCCAAGTCAGAAATCAGAACAGCACCTGATAATTCAGACTCTGTCTCGCTAAGAGATGCCAGGAACTTATTCCGGAGAAATTGAGCAACATCCCTTGCCATTCTTGCCCTTCAACACTATATTTATGTATCTACTGCAATTTTAATCAGAAACTGGGGGGAGTAATATGAAGAGCACGTAACCACGCCTTGGCCTTTGTTCAGCGCTTTGATCAAAGGACCTGGATCTGTTAGAGCAACTCCAGCAGCAAGGTTTGGACAGAGGCAAGGGGGAGTTTTGGAGAAAAAGGGCTTCCAGCAGTGGGGTTTGGCCCGAGTTGGTGGTAGGGCCCATGAAGTAGGGCTGGCCCGAGGGCAGAACCAGCCTCAGGTCCAAAACTCGGGGGGAGCTGACGTCACGATGACGTCAGCATGCGGAACTTAAATGATGCACGCTCCAACGGTAAAAAAATTTGAGTTGCGCGTGCTGACGTCATCGTGATGTCAGCCCTGCGCGCGCCCAACGGCTCTGGGACAGCTGGCGCAATCTGGGCGCTCCGATCTCCTTTCTCTCTCCAATCCGACGGCAGCAAATATTTTTGCTATAAAAAAATGAAAAAAAATCTGAAATTTTTTTTAAAAAATACACAAAAATACTGTAATTTTTTTCTATAAATACCTACCACTACTCTTCACTTTCAACACCAAATCCTCATACATTTTCTTCTACTTCTACTATTATTCACTTTTTACTCAACATTTTATTCACTTTCAAGTTTTATTTTTCTTTATCATTTTTATGGCTTCTTCTATAGATGGTGTTGGGGCATGGAGCACCATGGAAGATGTTTTGTTGTGTGAGTGTTGGGTCCAAATTTCTCATTGTCCCGTCACGGGCAATGAGATAAAATTCTTTCAAATGTGGAAAAAAATTCATTCCGAATTTTGTGAAAGATCGGGTTCGACCCGTACGGAAATGACATTGTCTAGTAGGTGGAAAATTCTCAATAAAGAGTTGGGGAAATGGAGAAATGCTTTGGCAAAAGCGATGGACAACCGTAGAAGCAGGGAAAATCTTACCGATGAGGTAAATTATTTGTAATTTTTGTTTTATTAATTTTAATGTGCTCATAATTTTTTATAAATGTTTATTGCATTGTCAATAGTTTGTTAATATTTCATTAATACCAAATATTTGGTTAATGTTTCTTGCATTGCAATTATTTCTCTTTTGTTTGTTGCATTGACAATATTTTTTAATGTTCCTTGCATTGCAATTATTTTTTAATGTTTCTTACATTGACAATATTTTTTAATGTTTCTTGTATTTCCACTATTTTTTTATAAATAGATTGTGCAAGCACAAATGTGGTTTGGTGCTACTGGGCAAGGAAAAAAATCATTTAACCATCAAGAATGTTGGGAGGTAGTCAAAAATTGCAAACGTTTCAGAATTATTCCCACCGGTCCGGAAGTTATGTTGAACGAGACGCCACTTCATAATTCAACGCCACTCCATAATTCAATGGCATCGGATTCACCTCTCGATTCCCCAATGAGTGAAGACTCACCCATCGAAAAGGAGCGGAGGCCTATTGGGAGAAAGGCGGCGAAGGCAAAGAGAGTAAGTAATTCTACTAGTAATTCATCTAAATTTTTGGAGGAAATTGCAAGGCAAAGCGCCATGAGACTTGAAATAGAGAGGAAAACCCAAGAAGGTGATATGATATTTCAAATGGAATGTGCACAACAAAGGGAGTATGTACGCAAGCAAAACATTGAGAAGCAGGATCGGGAAACCATGGCCATGGATACAAGCCATATGTCCCCTGAAACAAAACAATTTTGGAAGCTAGAACGAAGGAATGTTATGAAACGAAGACTTTTTCGTGATGATGGACCTAGCAACACGGATTGGTTAAATGATCAAAACAATTAAGTTAGTTTGCTTGCTTTTTATTTTCATTGTATTTTAATGTTTTATTTTGAAAATTAGTTGTAATTCATGTATTTTATTTTCATTGTAATTTAATGTTCTATTTTGAAAAATAGTTGTAATTCATGTATTTTATTTTCATTGTATTTTAATGTTCTATTTTGAAAATTAGTTGTAATTCATGCATTCAATAAAATACCCTTTTAATAAAAACATTTCATACATAAAAATAAAAAAACCACAACCAAACCATTAAAAATAAACAAACCACAACCAAAGCCTTAAACTAAAAAAACATAACACAAAATAAAACATAAACATAATAAATAAAACAAACTTGTTCACTTCACTTCATTAACCGTCATTGCCTTTCACCGCCCATAAATGCTCGATCAAGTCAACTTGACGTCGTTCATGAATATAAGATGATTGCATCTCCGTATATCGATCAATCATACGGGTCATTACACCACCGTCCCTAACCAACGGTTCATGTTGCACTGGTTCTCCATTTAGCCCAATGGGTTTTTCATAAATTCGTGTCAAGGCCGTGTTCATTGGATCCGGTTCGTACACGTCTTCAGATGAATAATCGTACTCATCCTCCACAATCATGTTATGGAGGATGATGCATGTCATCATTATGCTCCTCAGCACCTCCTCATCAAACATACGTGCCGCAACCCTAATAATAGCCCATCGGGCTTGGAGGATACCAAAGCACCTCTCCACATCTTTTCTGTACCCCTCTTGATATGTAGCAAAAAAATTTTGCTTCTGGGATCGTGGATGCAGAATTGACTTGACAAATGTGGTCCACCTCGGGTAGATGCCATCAGCTAGATAATACCCATTTTGGTACACGGTATTGTTGATTTGATAGGTGATATTTGGGGCTTCACCTCTCAAAACATCATTGAACACCGGGGATTGACCCAGGACGTTCAAGTCATTTTGAGATCCGGCAACTTCGAAGAAAGCATGCCAAACCCACGTATCAAAACTGGCAACGGCTTCAAGGATGATGCTTTTTTGGCCTTTTCGATTCCCATAATCGCCTTGCCAAGCGGTCGGGCAATTCTTCCACTGCCAGTGCATGCAGTCGATACTACCAATCATTCCTGGAAATCCTCTCTCTTCCGCCTTTTGTAGAAGGCTTTGCAAGTCCCTGGGCGTAGGTCTGCGCAGGTAGTCCCTGCTGTACAGAGTTTCGACTGCATCACAAAATCTCACCAAGGTCTCCAAAATAGTGGACTTCCCCATTCGGGCAATCTCATCCACTTGATCAACAGATGAGCCATACGCCAACATTCGGATAACAACTGTGAACTTTTGCTCGGGAAGCAGTCCCAAATTTCCAGCAGCATTTCTCTTTTGAACAAAATATTCATCATAATTGCAAATATCATGCATGACTTTATTGAACAAATGGGGTTGCATTCTATATCTCCTTCGAAAATCAACATCAGAGTACAGAGAAGTTGGGATAAAATAATCTTCCATAAGATTCTTACCCCGAGAATGTCTATGCCTGTCCACATTCGGTTTACGACCTTCTCGTGAACCACCGCGACTCTGATTTTCTTCATCTTGCATAGCCACTGCTGCGACAATTTGCATATCAAGTTCTGCCTGCGCCCTTTTGCTTGCAGCTCGTCTACGCCTTCTTTCATTAAATTCTTGGATTTGCCTCTCCAAGAGCTCGTTCATGTCTGCCATTGGAGTATGAATTCTAAAATCTGAGAAATGAAAATGAAGAGAAGATATGGTGTGAGAGGTATGAATTGAGGCTCTGGTTTTATAGAAAAATTTTGGCTAATAAGGATGACAAGTGGCGCAATTTTATAGGGTGAAAATCTTATCTGAAATTTGAAATTCAAATGAAATTTATATGAAATTTGAAATTCAGATGAAATTTCATTGAAATTTGAATTTTGAAATGTAATTGAAATTTGAAATTTGAAATTTATCTGAAATTTGAAACCGAAAATCTTATCCGAAAATTTTATCCGATTATGAGATATGAATAGTATTGACACGTAGGAACCCAAAAATCTTATCCGAAAATATTATATAAATTAATTATTTAAGTAAACAAATTTGTGAAAAAAA